TTTTTTTTTTTTTTTTGCACTTTTTGACACAGCCAGTCACTGCAGATTCTACAAAATCAGGATTACCAAACCTTTCTGTGTCTATCATCTTATTCGTAGCACGGTGCAACAGGTAGAAAGATTTCTTGATTTCACCCAAGGCAGGTTATTTAGAAACCTTCATATAGTCATTTGCTAGAAAATGGCTTACAGCCCAATCTTTGGGGCAAGAGATATGAAAAGTATGTTTTCCCAAGAAAATAATATGCTTTGTTCCCAGACGTGACTGGAAAGACCAGAACTTATGATATAAAAGCTCTCATTTATGTTGTCGCATCATATACAAAGGAACATGGCGATGGGCAAATGCAAATCCCAAATCTATCAACGAGAAAATGTGTAACAGTGCGTGATAAGTTAAATTTTTTTCTTTATTGTTGTCCAACGCAGAGATCCTTTGGAGAGGAAAAAAAAGATCACAGTGCTTACCAGGTAACTGAACGGGTCGAGTCGAGGGGAGCTGTTAAAAGAGAGGGTTATAGGGAGCAGTTGATGTTTTGTTTTGTTTGTTTTTTTTTTTTCTCTTATGGCATCTTCTCTCAGGGAGTTGTGAGCACTTGGGCCAGGTCCTTTCCCCCGGCACTCGCCGTCACGTGCCGCTGGCCAGGCGGCTGTACTTGACCGGCCGGCCCCGCCGCAGCGCCGGCCAGGGCAAGGGCCAGTGGTAGGAGCGAGGTACAATGCCTTGGACATTCTTCTCAAAGTACTGGAAGGGCTTGTACCACCAGACCCTTGCGAGGAGGTTAGTTTGGGAAGCTTCTTTTAGCACCTGCGCCGAGAGAGAGAGAAGGAGAAAGGGGAGAGTTAGGAAGGGATTGCGAACCGCTCGCTCGCACGGCTTCACTGGTCCTGTTCGTCACTGCTGCTTCCAAACAGCTCCCAACACACCCAGAAACACCCCCCAGACAGAGCTGCGTGGACAAAGATCAGGAGAAGCCAAGCTACTCTTCCACAGCCTCCCTGCACACACCCAAGTGAGGTTCACCAGTGTTTCCGAGACCTCAGTTGTTCGAGGGGCCCTCAGGGAGAAAAAACGAACGGTCCAAAGATCAGTCTCTGCTCTCCCTTGGGAATGAAAAGCCCAACCCAAAGCACAGTTGTTACCATAAGTATCTCTGAAATTCCATGTAGCTCGAGAATGGTTTTGGAACTTCCCAGGCAGCGAGCAAGGCACACCTCAAACCAGAGGAGGTCAGGAGCCCTGCCCTGCCCTCCACATGCTCCCAGACTGCTCCCACCCACCCTTTTCCTTCTCTTAGCCACAGGCAAGCCCCAGCTGAGACACAAGGAGTGGGCAGGCCCCCAGGCAGTTATCCAACCACCCTGCTGCATGTTTTCAACACCAGAGGCGGGAATCACCGAATCTGCCCATGGCAAAGTGCAAGCACTGGGCTTGTACACTGAGCTCTATCTCCATGTCAAGCTCACACATAAAATAAATCCGCTTCTGCTTTTAACTTGAAGGTCAGACAGAAGCCAAAGCCCTCTGCACACAGAGCAGCATGAGGAAGGAGAGATGAGCACACAAAGGTGTGCTCAGGAAAGGATCCAGGGACTGGCATTTCCCAACATCTCAGCAGCTTAGGGAAGCAATGTTGAGCCACCTCCTGAATCACATCATGCAGCAAAACAGGCAGGTTTCCACACAGTAAGGCAAAGGGCTTTGCTGAAGCAAGTCTTCATTAGGACTCAGGGTAATCCTGACTCCAGTACTTCCAGCTTGGAAGCACAGCCACCCAGCACCTGCTTTAACAGAGCCCAGGAGCAGATTCAAAGCCTGGAAGCCCATCTGGGGCTGTATGACAAGAGGTACAGAGTCTGAGCACAGGTTGCTATTGGACAGGGTGGCTCCCAGACTGACTGAGCAAAGTGCACCTAATCAGCAATTAGGCATTTTGGGCTAAAAACACACCACGGGGTTTGACTGTGGTGTATTGCTTCAAGTAACATCAAAACCAGAGGACACCCCAACAATCCCACCCTGTCCCAAACCCTCCTGGAGCTCTGGCAGCCTTGGTGCTGTGCCCACGGCCCTGGGGAGCCTGTGCAGTGCCAACCACCCTCTGGGGGAAGAATCTTCTCCTGAGATCCTCCCTTGACACAGCAGGGGAGGTTTCACATTCCTCAGCCCTGCAAGTTCCTCTCTTATTGCACCAGTTCACTGGCAGGGAAAACCAATGACAATAACATGAGACATCATTTAAACCTCTTTATTCAAACCTTTGATGAATCTTTTACTCTCTGACTGAGTATAATCATCAAGTGCTGTGTCTCCTCCTCAGCAGTTCTTTGTTCTCAGTATTTCCCTCATCACCCTATTTTCCCAGACATGGGCCTTAGGTCAGAAGCAGCCTGTTCTCAGCTGCACTGCCCTCCAAAAGGAAAACATTTCCCTTGGCCAGGAGAACTTCCCACCACTTGGACACATTTAAAAAACTGGTTCATTTTTAGTGAGGCTCTTATACTATTCCTCAAGAGGCCTGTCATCAAACTAAAGGGCAGAAGCCACAGAATACAAGGAAAATCCAGCTGGCCTCAACAGGCAAACAAAAAAACAAGGCAAAGAACCCCACCATATCTAAATGGTTTGCTCTGCCAACACCAAACCGGCTCAAATTCAGAAGGACTTCAAAAACTGAGGCTATCTGGGGAAAAGCAGAGGCCTGCCTGCCTTGGGTAGACCTTCACATCTCTCTGTGGCCAAGACACAAGAAGAACCCAACCAATGATGCCTCTTTCTTTCCTGCAAACCCAAGGGCAGGACATGGGTGGGGTTCACTCCTTCTGGATATTTCCCCGTCACCACCCCACTGCAAGAGGAGCCCTGCAGATCCCAAGAGTGGAAGGAACTCACTTGCTGGTTGGCCATTGTGTGGTACCACCAGAATAGCCTTGTAGTGATGTAGTAAGCCACCACCACGTCCACAGTGTAGTGGTCATGAGCAAGGAGGATGCAGAACATCCCAACCATGCTGAGTGCCCAGCAAAGCCAGTGATACCACCAGAGTCGCCGTGGGGAATCTGCAAAGAAGCACAAGCAGTGGTTATTTCAAAGTGCAGCATTATCAAGACTAGTGCTGTAATTAGCAGAGGTCATGGACTGCAATCCTGCAGGAAGATTAGGAGCAGGAATGCTGAGATCACAAAATAAGTCCCGTTCTCCTAAGGTGTAGCTTAAAATTGCAGTCGGGGTAAGGAGATCCTTGGACAATACAAAGGTTACGAAATCTTTGAAGAACATATAATATACCCTTGCCAATCTAATTAATCCATTTGTGTTTAGATGAGATATTAGGAAAAAATTCTTCCCTGGGAAGGTGGGGAGACTCTGACACAGGTTGTCCAGTGGAGCTGTGGCTGCCTCATCCCTGGAAGTGCCCAAGGCCAGGTTGGAGCAACCTGGGCTAGTAGAAGGTGTCCCTGCCCACGGCAGGGGGTGGAACTAAATGAGCTTTAGTTCCAACTAAAAACCAACCCCAAACCACTACAACCCTTGTGGTGAAGGGTTTCCCTAATATCCAGCCTAACCCCACCCGGCACAACCTCAGACCATTTCCTCTCACCCTGGAAAACCCACGTATTTTAACTTTAACTGCATTTACCAACGAGCACAACAATAATTCCCTCAATGAGGAAGGAATGAAGAGCCAGGCACTCACACTCTTTGATGAACAGGTAGGTGAGGGTGAGGATGACAGTGTGGCCGCTGTACAGGTAGTCACCACACATGTTGTGGGATCCGGTGATGGACAATCCTCCACCAGCAATCAACTTCATTATCCTTCGCAGGTGAGATTCCCAGTCTCCAAAAAGCTGGTGCAAGAGGAAAACACAAAAGCACAGTAAAATATCAGCTTTAACCTTTCAGGTTGAAGGTTTTAAACCTTTGTTTAAAGCCAAGGGTTTAGCCAGCGACTTTGCCTTTTGGTTCTTCTCTCTTTCTCCTTTGATTCACAAGTTCAATCAGCAAATAAATCCCCAAACTTGGCAGCACCTTTCTAGGGGGGAAAAAAAAACTGGAAATGAGCCATGATTTTATTGATGCTTTGCACCTATTACAGCTGGCATTCATGTGAGGTTTTCCTTCTGTTCAAGAGACAACTCTAAAATAAATTATCTTGTTGATAACAGCACAGGCCCTACTGACGACAATCCAACAGAAACCAGGATGAACTGTACATCCAGCTGCTGAAACCAAGACTTGATGAAGAATACCTCACTCCAAACCCAAAGGTCACCTTGGAAAAGTCTTCAAAGTAATCTCTTTCCACCTCACAGTCCAACAGAAACATGTGCGGTGTTTGTCAGAGCACAGTGCCCAACTTCAAGAAGTGGCAATTAATAGTTTCTGACAGACTTCAGCAGGTTCTTTGCAGGAATTAAACATTTCCTGTTAACTGTTCATTACAAACATTAAAATGCTCCCCAAAGCCCACTCTTCACAACCATATATAACTTAGGAAGGTGTTGAGAAGTTATTCTTTCCCCACCAGTGTATTTATAGCTCTCAAGAAAACCCAGTTAATCCTTAGTCTGATTGGGGCCATAGAGGAGCACAACACAAGTTTGTCTCTACTTGAGTAATGAGAAGGATTTGCCAACACTGTAAATTCCCAAAAATGGCAATTTATTCCCTTCAGCCCATAAATACCTGTGTTCTTTTTTAATTTCATAACAGATGACTGATCAAACACTGTGTTGACTCCTCTCCCACTCTCTTTCCAAAAGCTCTGGGTCCCTCCAAAAGCCATACGTGGCTTGGCAAACATTCTGCCTTGGCAAAGTACTGGTGTTAGTACATTCACTGCCTTCATCTCCCTGAGGAACTGCAGCAGTTCAGCTCTGTCTGTACCTGCCCATCCTCACCAAAACAACGGCAGCACGTGCCCCAAGTCACAGCAGGATTTTACTACCTGTCACTTAATTTATGGCTGTGCACACAAAGATATTTTGGGTGACATGAGATGGATGCAACACCACCATCCCTGTCCCATCTCCACCCCAAGCAGGTGAATCACCCTTCCAGGCTGACCAGAAGGGTCTTGTCCAAGCACCTCTGTCCCAGTAGCCTGGTTTCATCTACGGCTTTTGCAAGCCCGGTTTATTTCTTGGCACAACAAACATGAGTCAGTGCTACACTGGGGAGGAGGTGACAAGCCCTTGTGCTACCACAACTGCAAAAATTTATATATATGCAGGAGACAGAGTTCCACCAGCCTCAGAAAAGCCTCTTGGGGCCATTTTCAAACACAAACCATATTTGGATTTGACACACTGAGGTGGTTAGAAATAAATGAGTCACGTGTGGCACACCTGCAGGCTGCACACCTTCAACTGCTTTGGTGGAGACAGAAAACTGCTGATCCTGCAAATTAGTTGAAAATGCCACAGAAGTAGTGGAAATCAGCATTTTGAAAAGGGTGGGAACGACTGCACTGCCCCAAAGCACCTGTCAACACCTCCACCAAGAGAGAAGCCAATGATCTGCAGGAGGATGTCCCTGCCAGGCCAAACCAGTGTTCTCAAATTAGAATCACAGAATGGTTCGGGTTGGAAGGCACCTTAAAGATTAGGGACACCTTCCACTAGCCCAGGTTGCTCCAAGCCCTGTCCAGGGACACTTCCAGGCATCCAGGGGCAGCTACAGCTTCTCTGGGCAACCTGTGCCAGGGCCTCCCCACCCTCACAGGGAAGGATTTCTTCCTAACATCCAATCTAAACCTGCTTCCTTTCAGTTTGAAGCCATTCCCCCTTGTCCTGTCACTCCAGTTTCCAATGAACAGCCCCTCTCCTATTTCCCCATAGCCCCTTCAGACCCTGGAAGGTGCTGTGAGGTCTCCACACAACCTTCTCTGAACATTCCCAGCTCTCCCAGCCTGTCTCCACAGGGAGGTGCCCAATCCCCTTCAGCAACTTGGTGGCCTCCTCTGGACTTGCTCCAACAGCTCCATGTCCTTCTTTGTGCTGGGAGCACCAGAACTGTGCACAGCATTCCAGGGGGGGGTCTCACCAGGGCAGAGCAGAGGAGCAGAATCCCCTCCCTTAGTAACAATTCTTGAGAAAGCGTTGTTGGTAGTTTTGGGAAGAGCAGGACAGGTGGGAAACACGCAGGTTAAAATATGGAAAGGTAGCCAGAAGCAGTTTACCTTTGGAGAACACTTGAAATGCATTCCAGGGACTGGGAGCGTGGTCACATACATTGTAATACACCGGTACAGGTATAGTGTGCCAACTATACAGAAAAATCTTCTGCTAATTATAGACCTAGGAGAGGGGGAAAAAGAAAAAAAAAAGAGGATAAAAATAAGGAGGTCGCTCAAGGCAAACAAAATACGCAAAAGGTAAATAAAACAAAACCACCAACTGTTTTCTTGTGATGCTTTTGGAACCCGTGACAGTATCGGCTTACACCTGAGAACACTGAACTGCCCCACAAACCTTCCCACGCTTTCCAGGTCACAAGCACAAGAGCAACTCAAGTAACATTACCCACGGAGGTGATTACAGGAAATCTAAGGATTAGAACACAAAGGCCTGTGCAGATTGGGTGCTGAAGACATTAAAAGGGATTTCATGCACAAACTCCTCCATTAGCTGTGGGCTGTCACTAATTTCCTATTCAAGGCAGGGGATAAAGTTACAGTATTTTCATTCTAAGATGAAAAGAAGGAAGTTTGTTTCAGCTGACACACATATTTAGTAATGACAAAGGGTCTCTTGAGAAGAAAGAGCTTGGATAACCCGAAGGAGTGAGAACACATCATTCCTGAGCAGCATTATAAAGGGAGCAAGTCACATCAGCAAGGAAACCTCCAAACTACAACTGCAGAGCTGCCCTGGCCACAGCACAGGGTGTCTGCAGGGGAAGCCACTCTCCAGGCAAGTGGCCACAGTTGCAAAGACATTTATTACTGAGAGCTGCCAGCGAGTCCCTGGAGGGCAGATGCAGCTTTGGGGTACAGAGAGCTGGTTCTGCAAAACCAGCAAGAGCACAGGAGGGAAAGCGAGGCAGCTTGGGCTCAGGAGGGACAGCCAGCCCCAAAACTGACCCCTTGGGTTTCACCACAGAGTAACAGCTAAGAAAACCTCAAGGAAAGAGCTACAACAATTAAAGCCCCTCTGGCACATCCACCAGGACCGGAGCAACTGCTGGAGAGACCCTAAAGAGACATCACTGCCAGGACTGCAGAAATCAAGGGCAAATCCCATTACAGCAGTTAACCACCCTTTGTGTTCTACACACCCTCTTGGTTTTGCTTGATTTTAAATAATTATTTGCAGTTATGGTCATCTCAACTTCTGGCATTCATGGAATCACAGAATGGTTTGGGTTGGAAGGGATGTTAAAGCTTATGTTGTTCCACCCCCTGCCATGGGCAGGGACACCTCCCACTAGCCCAGGTTGCTCCAAGCCCCCTCCAACCTGGCCTTAGACACTTCCAGGCATTCAGGGGCAGCCACAGCTTCTCTGGGCAAACTGTGCCAGGGCCTCCCCACCCTCACAGGGAACAATTCCTTCCCAATATCCCATCTATCCCTGTCCCTGGCAGTGGAAAGCCATTCCCCCTTGTCTTGGCACTCCAGGTCCTTGTAAATAGTCACTCTCCCTCTTTCCTAGAGGTTCCCTTCAGGCACTGCCATTCCTTTGTTGCTGTTGTGTTCACTTTAAAAAAAATAGTATTCCTATCAAGCTGAGGTCTTTCAAAACTCAAAATTGGCCATCTTTTTAATTTTTAATAGCTTTTGGCACAGTTATTAAACTGGAGAGCTCCACTCTTGGAGGAGGATGACTTTGCAGTGCCAGATTAATAACAACTTGAGTGCCTTGATTTATCAGAAAAGCATCAACTCTTACAGGGTAAACACATTTTGCACTGGAGTGCTCACTGCTCTAACACAGTATTCCACCTTTTTTCTTCTTTTTCTTCTGATGTAAACACGGGCAAAGACTAGAATTAAAAATTACACTTATTAATGTAGCTCCACAGACTGAAATTTAAGCGTGGAAGGCACCAAGCTGTTGGGACAGGTTTTTTCCTCTGCAGAATTTTTCTCCTGGAAGGGTAATCCAGTGAAGGCCTCACACTTGTGCCTGGCTTTTACTACTTGATTCTGCTTTTTTCTTTATAACCATAAAGGCAAACAGGGGTGTTGGGGATTAAAGACTGAGCAGCACTGTATTTTAAGAGCCTGAAAAAATGGCAGCGTTTTATTGAACACTGAACTTCTCTTTTTAATTAAAATTACCCACAAACCCATTCGATTTAGCTGGATTTGGCATATTTCAGCTTGGGGAAACGTGAGAGTGCTCTGTACTGTAATACATATAAAAAAATAAATGTAAAAAGCCTCATATTTCCCCTTCCTCAGAGGATTTGTGTGTGTGTGTGATTTAGAGCCAGCGGTTACTGGCCCAGACAACTCTGTTCCAGCTCTCCAGACCTCACCAGTGCACATGCTGCTTTTTCAGTCCCATGAGCGAATCAGATGTCAAGCATGGCCAAAATCCAGCGCTGTACTTCTCCCAGAACATCTGGGAATGCTTCCCAGAGAGGCTTGATCTGCCTCAGCAGCCGGCCTGGACTCCTGGGGCTGCCCCTGGTACCGAGTGCCCAGCCCAGACCTGCACACCCATCCTGCTCCCTGGGCACAAACCAGCCCAACCCCATGCCAGGGACAGCCTCAGGATGATGGGATAACAGAATGGTTGGGGTTGGAAGGCACCCTAAAGAACATCTTGTTCCATCCCCTGTCCCGGGCAGGGAAACCTCTCACTAGCTCAGGGTGCTCCAACCTGGCCTTGGGCACTTCCAAGCCACAGCTTCTCTGGGCAACCTGGGCCTGTCCCAGGGGCCATGGGAACCCCTGGTTAGCTGCACATACACAGCAGTCCCACAGAGGAGACATGGAGGTCATATCCCACAGGATCAAGCAATCCCTGGACTGAAGAAGGAGAACCTAAGTGATGAGTATCATGAATGACACCTCTCTGTTGTCCTTCTTCATGGCTTGGGAGAACAGCAGGCTCAGCTTGGATGAAATCACTATCAGCAAATAATGGATCTGGTGGGATAAACAACAGGAATTTCACTGCTTGGCAAAGGACAGTGTTGTAAAAAGCCTGAAACTGAAGCTGCCTCAAAGGTTTGACCCAGCCACTGGTTGCAATTCAACTCACAGGTCACAAAGCTGCTGCTTCACCAGTGACCCTGAGCTTGCAGGGGAGACACCCCTGACTGGTGTCTGTCACCTGAGCAGGGGAGCAGCCAGGTCTCATCCTGCCCAGCAGCCAGGGCTGCACATCTGATCTTCACAGCACATCAGAGGGGGGCAAAGCTTAACCCTGACCCATCAGAGGCCAGAGAAGTGAGGAAGGTCCATCTGGCCTAATGCCCTCCCTTTGGTCTTGACTTCAGTGTCAAGTGATAACCTGCATCACAGAAGTGATTCAGCTCTTTCTGTAGCCCCAAATCACCATCCATTTGATGGTTCACCATCCAAAGCCACCTCACTAGGTTCCTGTTCCTGGGAGCATCTCTCCTGTTCTTCCCCTCATGCTGCTTAGCCACAGCTTGGGCTTCTCAGACTTCAATACCTCTGCTCATGGAGAGAAGATTTTTGGTGTCATGATGCATTAAATGGTGTCACAAGCATTGTGTGACCACTCCACACCGCTGATCAGCTATTCCAGGGGCTGATACTGGGGATGGAAAGCTCTGTGACTCCCTGACACCTTCCCCTAACATCAGAAAAAGCCCCCTAAAAGGGGTTTCCCACAGCAGGAGGTTGGAATGGGATGATCTTTAAGGTCCCTTCCTTCCCCAACCCAAACCATTCTGTGTCTCTATAAGGCAGGTGAAAAGGAACACACTAAAGCAAGTAGGGACAGGGTAGGGGGTGAACCTTCACATCTGTCAATGATACCAACATATGCACCTTACCATCAAAGCCAACCCACATCTCACTGCTGCAAAACCTCCATGGACCTCAAGAATTCTGGTGTTCCTCCCCTAAAGGCTCTGCTCAGTTCCATCACAGGGTGTCTGATCCCTCACCCCACACCTCTTTCTTGAGGGCAATCCCACATCACCTTCTCCAGGTGTTTCCCTCGGCCTTGCTCAGAGACCTCAAGGAATTAATGGTCCCCCACAGGCAGCTGGAGCAGCAGGAAGAGAGGCTGGAGTGCAGCTGGTAGCACTGCACCCACCAACAGGAGAGTGGTACTGAAGCTAGAACTTCCCTTCAAGGAGCTCTTACAAGTGTATAACAATTTAAAAATTTACCTGATAAAATACAGATGAATAAACCATCATCTCAGTCTTGTGGATTAATCTGCCCCATTCCTACAGGAATCCACAGCTGTGCCACACATCCTGCCCCAGGCTAAAAATTCTCTCCTTTTAAGCCATCTGCAACTCATTAAGTGGGTGAACCACCTGCTTGTGTTTAAGTTTTAATGTTTTGCTGCATTACAAGGGCAAGTGATTCACTGGCCACTGCTTTTATTTCTTTCAAAAAAGGAAATCTTTAATTCTAAGGCCACTCCCCAGCCCCGTGAACCAAAGGATCTTGTATTTCACATGGTGGGGCCCAAATTATGTTCCTTCTTCAGTTTTCTACATGAAGTCACCAAAAAGTCAGTGAACAGGTAGAGAATGAGATGTATTAGCAGAGGAGAAAAGAAGAGAAGCCCCTCTGGGCAACTGTGGGGCTGTGCTGGTGCCTTGCTGTGGAAAGGAAAGGTGTTATGCCACCTCTTACTGCTTAACCTGCCTGACTTTGAACACTTCATTTAGCACGAGGGTTTACATCAGACACTCGTGGTCAGGCAGCCCAAGGTGTGCATTTCCAGCTCTATAAATACCTTGCATTAAACATCCACGTGCTCTCTGAGTAGGGGAAGTGGCAGGTTAATTCCACCGCAAGGCAAATTCACCCTTGCAGTTGTGACCAGTATGAGCAAGAGGCTGGGAACAAGCACTGAGACCTTCCAAATTCACTGCAGATCCATGCTTTTGCTTATTTTATGATTAGCTGTTGGACATCCCTTGTGTTTGACATTACCTGCCCCACCCAATGGCAAGAAGAGAATGTACTTCAATGCTTTTTTCATGCAGCAATATTCAGGTGCACAGGCTAATCCCCCACCTGCTGCTTTCGTGCAGGAGTTTTAGGGTAGGGCTTTAGGTCAGGCAAAGCACAGAGACACTAAATCACAGAATATACACAGCTGGAAGGGATCCATACTATAATCAAGTTAAACTCCTGGCCCTGACCCTCAGAGCGTTGTCCAAACCCTCCTGGAGCTCTGGCAGCCTTGGTGCTGTGCCCACTGCCCTGGGGAGCCTGGTCAGTGCCAACCACCCTCTGGGGGAAGAACCTTTCCCTGAGATCCAACCTGACCCTGCCCTGGCACAGCTCCAGTTGTTCCCTAAGATCCTGCCCTCACAACAGTGTGAGCTGTGCTCCTTCTAAACAAACAGAACAAGCAACTGAGTTCAGAACATATTTCACCCAGTTCCTGGGCTTTTCACACATAAAAAGGGCTGTGGTTAGTTGTGCAGACAAGCACAACCAGGGGTATTGTTTAGTTTCTCAGGGAACAGTTGGATCGAACTTCTGCCTTTTGCACAAGCAGCTTACGCTGCACGGTACCTATTTCAGTTTTGGAAACCCAAATCAGAAGATCACAAGAAGCTTCACTTCACTTGGATGTAAACCAGCACCTCCCCTCCGAAAGCTGTCAGAAGCACTCGGTTTTCTGAAGGTTTTACTTACTTGTACTTTAAGAGCAGCCACTGAACAAACCACAGTCCTACAAGGATCATGCCGTTGATTTCACAGATAGAAAAAGCCCATTGCACCCGATCAAAGCGATCAAAAAATGCATCTGGGAGGGGAGGCTGCACCTCCTTGGGAGGCACTCGTTCGTGGACGACTGAGATAGTCACTGTGGTAAAGACGAAACAAGAAAGTGCATAAATAAAAGCCAGGAAAGTCTTGCCCCACTCCATGGGGTACTGCGAGCGCTCCGGCTCTGGCATGGGGATCTTTATCATCTCCTTCTTGAACCCGTTTGGCACCCCGTTGAGCTTGGCCTTGCCGCCGAAGCCGTTCTCGCCGCCGCCGCCGCGGATGTGCCCGTTGGCGTGGCCGTTCTTGTGAGCCTCCATGTGGTGAGCCATTTTCAGAGTCTCGATCATGTGCAAGAGCCGCTGGCCGCTGTCGGAAGACACCCGGGACAGAGGCGTCCTCTTAAAGTCCTCCTCCGTCAGGTTGATGAGGTCCCGCCCGGTGAAGCCCCTCAGGGGCTCGCAGTACTCGGGCACCGCATTCTCCGTCAGCCAGCTGGTCACCTCCTCGGGTGACCACAGCACCACCTCTTTCATCTCGCCAGGCAGCCGGGGCACGGTCTGGCATGGATCTCACAGGGGGCAGCACTCACTGCCACTCCGGCGCGCTGGGAAGCTCCTCCTCGGCTTCATCCTGTCCCAGGATCTGGCCGGAGGCGGGTGCCCGTCTCTAACCCGCCCACAGGAGCATCCGGGCGCCGTGGCAGAGCATAGGAGTCACTTCACTTCATATTCGTGTTGGCATTCTTCTTCCTGGGGAGGAGAAACACCCAAAAGCACTCGTTAGGACAGCGTTTTGTTTGCAGTTCAGGGACAAAGACAAAATTCCTGCAGGAGAACATCTCGATTCTGCATGGAAAAGACCAACCCATTTGAGCTCCAGCCTTGGGCACACAGCACTGTCCTTCCCGGCCTTGCTGCTGATTCCTTAAGAGCTTTAACACCACTTTGCAGCTGTGGGAAGACTCCTGCCTGCTCTGTAGTTGTTGCATTTTCCATTGATATGCAGCTCTGGTCCACAACCAGCATCCAAACTCCTCTTACAATCCTCATACTCATGGATTTAAGGATCTACAGAGGGAATGTTCGGCATTATTCATGTCAGAAGCCTCTTCTCCCCCTCACAGACCAGTACCTTAATGCAATGTTTTGCACTAGTGATTGAACATAAAGCCTGGTTTTTGTTCTGCAAGGCAAAATCCCCAAAATCCCAGAATGGTTTGGGCTGGAAAAGACCTTAGAGACCATCTCATTCCCACCCACTGCCATGGGCAGGGACACCTTCCCCTAGACCAGGTTTGCTCCAAGCCCTGTCCAACCTGGCCTTGAACACTTCCAGGTGCCATATCTAATGTACCAGGTCACCAACACCCAAAAATGATGCAAGGATCTACCCTCTGGGCCAAAACACCAGCAGGAAAATCAGTGTCCAAACAGATTAGCCCAAAAATAAAGCATTTAGGTTTGCAGGTGTTTTAGCAGCTCTTTGAGGTAGATTTTACTGTTTCCATGGCATACTGCTACAATTCAAAGAATTGTTTTCTATCAGCTAAAAAAAGGAACCAGGAGGAAAATAAAATTTTAAAAGAAAAGACGAACTAGGTGAGAAACTTCTACACCCAGTGAATTACAAAAATAGCTTAGAAAAGGTGGTCACTTCCAATACAAAAGTTACAGGAAAACAGATGTTACTTCCTGAATTTTTGAGGCACAAGCAGCAAGAGGCTGTGGTCCCGTGGCAGTGACCACCACCAGCAAATCCCCAGGTCTGAGACATTTATTCAACCAACCAACGAAAACTGGTCCTCCCCAGAGCAAAAAGAAGGGACCAGTGAACCCCCCCCGTCTCAAACCTGCCATCCCACAGACCATGTATGAGAAAGAAAGTAACAGCATGGGGAAAAAAACGGATTTTGAAAAGTCACGTCAAGCCTTTATCAGCTTCAAGAATATTTTTAGCCTCTTACAGGCTACCAAGTGTTTGTGTTTCATTGCAGGGAGCAAAGCTGTGACTGAGAAAAACCAAAATAATTTACTCTACTGGCAAGATTGGAGGTGAAGTGGTTCAGAACAGACACAGAGCTTTACTCCTGTACAAATATGACCACACTGCACACCAATGTATTTTTTGACCTGCTGCCTCTGAACTCAGCAGGAAACACAGGGTGCAGTTTTCAATCTGTTTTTCCCTGGAATGAACCATGATGGTTGAGAAAAGAAAAGAAAAGAGCTCTGGAGGAAGGATTGGTAGTACTTTGAATAGGGCGCACCTCTCCCTTGCTGGGACATATTTAAATCCATGGAGCAAACCAGGGATGGAGTTGACTCTTCCACCTTGTTGAATATCTGTGTTGTTTTAAAACAGAAGGGAAGATGCAGCTCTATTTTCTTTCCTTTTTTTCCTCAGTACCAAGGAAGGCTTTCAGCCACAGATTGCTTCATTATTCAAGTTGTGTTTAGCAAATCAGTATTTAGTTACAGAGCTCTGAACATGGAAATAGGACTGAATTATGCATGGTAACCCATATTAGAAGCTCCTACAAGGCTGGCACTGAAGGAGAGCAGCTCAGCTCTCCACTATGCCCATCTCTGTGTGCTCTCAGTACTTGAGGTATCCCAGGGCACAAAAATTCCCAGCTAATCCTAACAGACTTCTCCACGGGCTTCTTGTTTCCGAGGATGATGCCTTACAATGCTGTTAAAGCCTAAGTTATTTATTTTTTAATGCTGTTACAACACCTGGGCTCCTGGTCTGCAGCAGGGCCTCAGCTTCCTGTGCTGTTCCACAGCTCCACTGCTGCCTCTCCAAGTTCTGTGTTACAAACCCAGCCTGGCTTTGGGCTGTCAGAGCACCCTGTGTACACCACGAGGGGGGGCAACATTAAACCTTTTCAACTTTAAACACTGGAGTGACTGAATCCCCATTTCCAGGCAAACCCTGAACCATTATCCTCCCAACAAACCGGCTCTCTGTCCACTCCCTGACGACATTCTTAAGGACTCACAATCCCAAAGATACAGGGCAAAGGGCTCCATTCATCACTGCTTAGGAGCCTGTAGCCAACCTTCAAACTACATCTCAACAGCCAGGAAAGGTTTAGACTGGACAGTAGGAAAAATGTCTTCACTGAAAGGGCTGTCCAGCCCTGGTGGCATTAAAAGACGTGGGGATGTGGCACTTGGGGACTGTGCTTTAAACTCACCACCAGCTATGCTATTTAAGGTACCACACGAAGAATAAAGACTGCTTGACTCCAACTTCTGTAACTTTATGGATTATGAAACATAAATCTATCTCCTAAGAGTCTTGAAAACAAGATATCCCATCTCACAGGCAGAGGCACAGACATCCAGCCCATCTGGTGCTGGCTGGATGGACAGATGGATGGAAGAGGATGGTGAGGAGTTCACCAAGGAGCTACTGAGCAGAAAGTTCAGTCCTCAGGGCTGACATTTCTGGGAGCACGAGCGAGGTGCAATCCCAGCCCGCTGCTCTCACACCACCAGCGTGTAAATCACTATCCAGCACCTTTTGTAAAAGCAGAGTAACTGATACTCACGGGAGGAAGGCTCAGAGGAAAGACAATACTCTGTGCCAAGGACACAGGCCACGGAGTTGTTTTCATTGAGAGTTAAAATGAGGAAAACCAACTAGAATTTCTAACATCACCTACCACTCAAGCCTCTGTTTCACAGCCTGTCTAATGGAGGAGGCACAGGTGAAAAAGCTTCTTTACGAACACCTTCCAGTTTGTCACATTACAAATTCCTTGTTCCCTATGATGTATCCATGACAGTTTGATCAGGTAAGGTTTGCAGAAACTGTACAGGAGACTAACAACACTCAGTGACCCCGTGTTGCCACAAAAGGTCTCATCCTCTCCACAAAAGGTGAGGACCAGCATCGGCTGCTGCCAGGCCACGTCCATGGGCTCAGCTCCATCCTACAAGGATGGGCACACACAAGCCTCCCCAGCTCTGACATGAGTTCTTTAGGCTGGGTCAGGCCACTGAAACACTCCCTCCATCTGCAGCAGAGCTGCTTCATTAAGGAATTATAAATAACAATGTGATTACCACAACAATGCCAACTGCACTATGATAATGATGCCGTGTAAAACCGGTATCTCAAAACACCCGGCACAAGACCCAGCAGGATGAAACAACCTCATCAAGGGCTCCAGGTCCCACCTCCTCCTGTTTACATGACCTTTTTCCCCCCCTGTTCCCAGCAAACACTCAAGTGCTAACTCAAAACATCAGGAGTAATTGCCACCACCACTTCAATCTGCACGTCTGTGGTTCTAACCCCGTGACCACGGCCACCCCAGCAACTTGAACAAGGATTTGAGAGGGCACTAACTATACACAACCTTGGCTATCAAGACTTGTTCTCTTTTGCACTGCTTTGCAGAGGTGCTGTTGGGCAAAAGGGCTGAGTGTGGGAGCAACCAACGCATTGGTTAAAGGGTGAGATAATCAGCCACAAAATCATCAGCTGGTTACACCTCCACACTTAGAATCATGGAATGGTTTGGGTTGGAAGGGACCTTACACATCATCTTGTTCCACCCCTCTGCCATGGGCAGGGACATCTCCCACTAGCCCAGGTTGCTCCAAGCCCCATACAACCTGGCCTTGGACACTTCCAGGCATCCAGGGGCAGCCACAGCTTCTCTGGGCAACCTGTGCCAGGGTCTCCCCACTCTCACAGGGAACAATTCCTTCCCAATATCCCATCTCTCCCTGCCCTCTGGCAGTGGGAAGCCATTCCCCTGTGTCCTGTCCCTCCATCCCTTGTCCCCAGTCCCTCTCCAGCTCTCCTGGAGCCCCTTTAGGCCCTGGAAGAGGCTCTCAACTCTCCCTGGAGCCTTCCCTTCTCCAGGTGAACCCCTCCAGCTCTCCCAGCCTGGCTCCAGAGCAGAGGGGCTCCAGCCCTGGGAGCATCTCCACAGCTCCTCTGGATCAGCTCCAAGAAGTCCTTGTCTTTCCTGTGCTGAGAACAAGACCCAGGTTTGGGGTCTTCTTGCAAGCAGAAAGCATTAAGTCTTGTAATTAACACTGATAAGAGAAAACCACATTCAGCAGCAAAAAAAGACCCCCAAAACCAGTCTACCCACCTCCAAACTCCTCCTTAAACACTTTGAAACTTGACTGAAGAACACCAAAGTCCTCCCAAATCAAATCACGCCTTCCTTTTACTCTCTAAGCTTTGCTGCCAAGGCAACAGTCACTATAGAAATCAGTAAAATCCTCAGCCATTTCAGCAGCTCCTCACCAGGAGATTTTCCAGTCCTTCCAGAGGCAGTGGGTGTGTTTCACTTGCAAACCTGAGCGCCCTTCCCAAACACCCCAGGAAAGTTGAGATGATCCCACCACCAGTGAACAACAGAGTTCCAATGAGCGAGGCCCAGGGACAGGCACGGATGGGAGACACAACAGTGACCTTTTGTGCTTGGAAAACAGACCCTGAGATTTACACTCATTACGTGTGCACACAAACAACCAGGAGAAATCCAACTGCTGTAAGGATTGGAGGAGACTTAAAGCTTTATAAACCAACCCACGAGGGAATTCCCCAACCCCACTGGCGAGCAGGAGTTACACAGGGGCTCTTGTCCTGCCTTTTTAAAGCAGAAAAACTGTTACAGCAGGGTCTGAGTCACTGCTACAGTCACCTCCTCTACAGGCATTTTATCATCACCAGCAATAACACTGACACCTCAATAACTGGACGTCCTGTCCTGGACAAG